AAAAAATTACAAGTATAACATTAACAATTGATTTTGTATGTTCTAAAGCAAGAGATAGAACCTCTATCACAGGTTTGCCACTTCGTTACAATCATCGTAAGCTTACCTGATTTACCTTGTTCAGAAGTACTGCAAGCCGAGAGAAACTACAACATCATGATTCAAGAATGTCAATGCAATGAGTGATACAGATAATTAATTCATGTGGCAGTCGAGGTATCAATATCCTATTCGTTTGAAATTGATTCTTGTTTTAGCATTTTCACACCTAATGCTATAGATCTAGAATATGTTAAGTAGCATTCTGGCACTAGCCAAGGGAAGCTGATATGTTGTACAGACATCATAAGTTACCCTGCTCACCCTGCTCACGAGCAATTGAAGCTGAGAGTATCCCAAGATCACGATTTAAGATTGTCAATGCAGACTCACATTCAGAAATAATTCTAGTCACTGGAGAGGGCTCGCCAGCAATTGTTTCAGAAGATCCAATGGCAAGAGCTGCATGGGAGTCTCTCACATTCCTTAAGTTGCCCAGAAACTGCCACAGAAACAATGATCACTTCACACTAAAATTCCATGCAGCACCGTACAGCATGTGAGACAATTGCTATGTTCGATCAAATATCATTTATACACTTTACTTGGTAATCATATATAACATAACCAACACATAAGTGAAGCAATCACTTTAAAAATAGATAGCACTAACATAAAGAGATCTATCCATTGACATATAGGGAAATGAACTATATTGGCACAATTGATGCAAGAGAAAAAGACATGTTTATGGAAACACGTTGAGATAAACTAAGTCTCCAACACAGCAAGATTTATCATTTATTTCCACGAAAGTAGACAAAATGATTGTGAGTTTCCAAAAGTGTTCTTCCTATATGTTGTGGAACTAAAGTTTGATAACAATTGCAGCTGGCCTTGTGGCCCAAAAGTAAGGTGCATGCCCTCCACCTTTAAGTGGTTAGATCAAATTCCCGTTTACATAATTAAATTTCAAATGGAAAAAAAATGATAATTTAAATATTTTGAAGAAATTCATAAAGAGGACATAATTTTCAAGTTAGTTGCAATCTCCTAGGGAGCTGGAACATAATGTTCCCCCTAATGGATTTTAATCTGCTTTAGAGTAGAATCATTTGTTGTTCTTTTTTTTTTTTTTCCCCATTTTTATCTATTCAATTAGAATGTTAGGTTAAATTTAGGTTGTCCTGCAAGCCTCAAGGTTATGTTTGATACCATTCCTTGCTCAAACAATAAGAGGAAGATAAATTAGTGAGAGAATATGATCTTTTAATAACTATTCCGCACTTGCATAAATTTTCTTCTAACAAGATGAAACAAGGTTAGAATACTTAATAAAACCTACACCTAAGTTCTGCCTATTCCCTTGTAACATACACTTACTAGAAGATTATTGGTACAAGGAATAGTTATTCCTTCTATTTCATACTTTCTTTTTATTCTACCTTATTTTATTATTAGTCCAAATAATAGCCACTCTTCCAACTAAACAAGCTGTAAGCCTTTAGGTTTAACTTTCTTGGAGTACATGATGAGGAACAAGAAGAGGCTACGGAAGAGTAATTTAGATTATTTAGGATTCTTAAATCTAACTCTTTTAGCAAGTACGATATTAAATTATGAGTTGTTGATGCTCTAAGTCTCTAACATTCAAAGGACAATATTATAATTTCTACAATGCTATACTCTCTAAAGATTATTTTCATTACCAGCTCTTTAGGTTGTTCTAGGATGTCTAAAGGTGTTAAGGTTGTTCTAGGATGTCTAAAGGTGTTAAGTTTTCTTCCCCATGTCCAAGTTGGTAATAAATATTAAATAGCTTCCTATTATTTTGCAATCCTAATCCTAGAGTAGTAAGGAATTAGTGTAAAGGTGTTATAATTCACATGTCACTTCCTTCGTCTTCTTATCCATCTCCTATTTTCTCTTTTCATTTCTCTATCCATTCTTCTTCACTCTTATCGCGGTTCTTTATAGTTCTCCTCTTATCTTTAGCCTCATTTCATTTCCATCTTGAAACTTGTTCTTATCACCTTCATAATTGTGTTAAAAATCCTATCCTCAAGTCATTAAAGTTGGAAATTTCACCTGAAAGATGCGTTACAAAATTTATTCAGTGAAACTCATGAAAGGATTTGATAGTTGAATGTTAGTAAGCACTTAAAAGATGGAAATGACATTGGGATACCTTTAAAAGCATCTTATATGCCTCCAACAAGCGATTAGCAGCTGGACCAAACCCATGAAGTTGTGGTACTTCCATCATGTGGGTCCAAGGTCGGATTTCCTACATGAACAGCCTTTAAAATTAGAATAATGGTACCAAAACATGCATCCAGGAGGAAAATGAAACTTAAGTACCAACATTTGCAATCATATTGCAATGCAGCATATACCAGAGACTGCATAGTGGATTTTTGCATGAAAAGGGTCAATTCTATTTAAATGCCAAAAAAAAAAGAAAAAAAAAAAAGAAGAGGAAAAGCAAAAGAAATTCTGGAGTATTTGTATGACATATGGAACCTAAAGCATTTCATCTAAAATGCTTCTTTGTTGGGTATTGACCTAAGCAAATGAGAACACCAGCCAAAATAAATAAAAGATTAGTTACAACTTACAACAAAAGCACTTAAATATACTCAACTAGGCCTTTACAGTTTACATTCTCAAATGTGTCTGGCTATGCCATAACCTTAAGTACCCTTGTGCACTATATACAGCAGTAAAGAGAGAGAACCATACTCAAAGGAAGAATCCAACATTAGGTTCTTCTCAAGTTAATTAAAGTACATGAAAAATAGAGAAGCATCTCAAAGAAGATAAAGAGAGCAATAGGAGAACAAACCTTCATGTAAATTGTATTGAATGATCTTGCAGTCTGTAGAAAAGACTCCAAATGCGCCTGTAGTTTAGATTCCACTTCGGCATACTCCTCATCCGGATTGTAAGGATGCTATGAGAGGCAATTTAAATAGAAGGTAGAAATGATTTAGAAGAAAAAGGAAAAATTTTAAAATAAGTGAATACACTCACAAATGAAATTATAAAAATCCATTGTCAAAAGAACAAAACAACTCAGAAATGGGGGTGTGAGGTGGAGAGATTGCAAATATAAGATGTGTTTTCCATATTAAGAAAACCAACATCAAAATTCTGCTTGTACCCCTGAATTACTTAAAATCAGAACACCAACCAGAATAATACTTTGAGAAACCCAAGAAAAAGAGTGTTGCATCAAGAATAGCTAAAAACATATTCAAATGTAAAATTCAATCATAAATGCAAAACATGATATACATAGTTGCCAAGTTTTGACGTCTTGGTGATATTTTCAAGTGATAGGCCTCATTTAACAGCTTTGACAATCTGAGAATATAAAAAAAAACTGAACAAACAAATGGTGCCACCCCTTTTATACTAATTGGAGAGCTATAAGCAGTAAAGGATGCCTCCAAAGACTTTAATATGAAGCTGCTCTGTCAGATCCACTTGAAGAAATAAGAAAATAGAACAGGTTTGATTATAAAAAATAGGAAAATTTAGGTTCTCTTGATAGTTGCTTTGTGGTGAAAGTCTGATTTCTAGTGGATAATGGGGCATGCAACGAATATCCAATAGAAAGCAATTAGTGGCCATTTTCATTCTCTTAAGCTTTAGGTGGCCTGACTTTACACTTGTTGCTGCAAGTTTAGCCAATTGTTTAATCTTGCAAAAGCAAAACTTTTGGCTGGAAAACAAGCAAAAGGGAGGGGAAGAAAGAAGGAAATTTGTTCATCCGTTTCAACCCATGTTAGAAAGTGTTCTAACACTCATCTCATTTCAAGCTTGTTTTCTGCATTTCCATCTTTGGATTTGCTTTGTCAGTAACCACGGGAATAACTCAAAATGTTCTGGCTAAGTAAGAATTGTATGGTTATGCTTTCATTTCCATTTTGAAATCTGGAGCTTCTATCCAAAGCATGTAACTGACTAATTATAGTTCCTTCCATTGGTTCTGTAGTTTCTGAAATTCATGCTCCTTCCTTGGAACACTACCAGTCCTTCCAAGAATGCTATGCTTCCTTTTATGTGAGAAATCTATTGTTTCAGGTTCTACTTTCACTCACACATATCCTCACCAACATCAGGTCAAGTCATCAACATAAAGACATTGAACCATGAGGAAAGGATTGAGGATAAACCTTTGATGCCAAGTCATCAACTTTCTGTTGAAGATTCAAGAGTATCTTGGACTGCTCTGAAAGCTTACTTTCCAGCTCAGAAACATCAGGTCTGCAAATGAACTTTGATTAAGGAAAAGAATGTAACTGCATCTGCTGACATAGAAAACTACATGTCACTTCTGTTCCAAAGAATGATACAAAGTCAATTGCATATTTCTCAAAACCAACATTCATACCAACAATATCTGAATGTGAAGCCAGTTCCAAAACATTTCTAGCTCCAATATGACCCCCTAGGAGCTTGATTTTCATTAGCCTAACAGTTCAAAACTTCAAAATTGTGTACCGAAAAAATGTAGTACAAATGAGACAACATAGAATCTTAAATAGCAATAAACCAATAGATACTTGCAGCTTTAGTGCCTAATAGTTGAATGCTATGAAGGGTATCAGGTCAGTAATTCTCCTGTCCATTTCTTCACCATAAACTAACATTTTATTCAGCTCTATAGGATAACAGAACATCCAACATAATAATCCCCAAGTTCTTTTACAGTAAATAAAGTTCATTCTCAAAAGCAATTTTTCTTAAGTAGGACTAGCATTCCCATTAGACATCAATATTTTGTATGGGGTTTGCTTTGGCCTTGTATTCAAGTCAGGACTCACCATCTGTAACTAATTTGCTTTAGGTTGGATGTCTTTATATAGCCTTATCACACATATTGATGCCAATTAGCTACTTTCAGGCTTTACAACTTGTTTGGCTTGCTAGGTAATACTTCTATTCTGCAGTGGATTATTCTCTTCAAGTTATATTTATTTATGGTGAAGAGTCTTTATGGTTAAAATTGTCTATCAGACAATCTGAAATCAACTAACTTAAGTTGTTCAGAAATCTAAAGAAAAGTTGGAAAGGTTCCAATAACACACATGAAAGCCTCCTTTGGGATATGATTAGATATGATATTAAGGTTCATGAAATCAGTGAGTAAATTTTGGATTTAACGACAGAAATAGCAAACTATCTTGCAACAAGGTGTAGAGGTTGGCTTAGGACACTCCTCTAAGGGTTTTTTTTCTTTTCTTTTCTTTTCTTTTTTTAATTGGCAGACTACTACCCTAAGGTTGAGGTCTCCGCTTTCTGAATGTTATGCCATAAAATGAACTTTCATAAAATCTTGTAGACATGAAGAGACTGGAAGCTCTCTAAAGATATTCCTTGAATGCAATTTGTATATTAAAACCTATAATTTGTAAATCAAATGGATACCTCAAGTTACAGGACGGTAGATCAGCAACTGCAGGAGAAGATAATGGATCTTAGGTTCCACAAATAATTGGTGCAGAGACTCTGCACCAATGGCATTCACATAAATTGGTGCTATCTACAACTTTAGATGATAAACTACAGTGCTTCAAGTTGCAATATAGATGGTTGTTACTACTTCTGATAATTCTCTCATTTTTTTTCCCAAGTTATAATGTGTAAAACGTAAATGTGTATTGTGGCCTGAATTGATATACATGCAATATACAAAATATAACAAAAATTGACATGGCAACATGTATGTAACTAAACATGTACGTAACAATAAATGATTTCCAAATCAACAAAATCTGGGGCTTTCTTAGTCATTCCAGAAAATGCCAAGCTTGAAAAGAGAAAGAATGAAGTTAAGTTTATTGTTGCATTATATATTTCAAATGAGAAAAACAGAAAAATAGGCAATGTAGATGGGTACAGGGAAAATAGGAAACTTCTTACAATGGATAAATGGATTGAATCTGCACATCAGCAGGAAACAACTTGCAATCCTCGGAGAAAATTATAGCTTGTTTCTCTGCAATAGCATCAATTAGTTGTATGTCCTTTGCTACTTGTTCATCAATGCTGCAATGAATGCAAGGCAAAGCTTACTCAAAGGAATAATATGGATACAGCACATCAAAATGCAAAATCCCTTGAATTTAAAAGGATATAAATATAACCAAAAGTAAAGTTCATGTTCTCTTAACCTCCACTCTGGATTATCTGCGTAAATGCTTGCCTCCACAAGATCTACAATAAGACGGAGCATTTCAGTTCTATCTTCATAGCTTCCACGCCCCTAAAAATACCAATATGTTGCACTTAATTAAGCTTGGTGATTATCACAACTGATTCACCCAAGAAGAAAGAAAAAGGAAAACCATAATTAATATTCCTCAAATTGTCCACTGAATGACTCCATGAATAAAGGACACCTACTCTTTGCTTCTTTCAACCCAATATAAGATTACTGTCAATTGTTTCTGAGATGGAAGGCAATCCAATCCAATGGCTAAGCCAAAGAGCCAAAAAATTCATTTCCACACCAAATCTGCTAATCATGCAGCAAAATTGAACCACATTTTTTCCTTTCCCTTTCTAACTGAATGGTATAAATCTTTTAAGTGAAAAACATATAGAGGTTATTGTCTAGATCCATCGTAATTAACTGTAACTAGTTAGAAAGTAACTCATGATTAACAGCAAGCACAAAAATCATGAAAGTTTCCCCTCAAAATTTCAGGCTCAGGCGCTTGGTGAATTCTTTACTCCAAAAATTTTCAAAGTTAGGCCGTGTCCAAAAGAATTTTCAATTTCACTTTTTAGGAAATTTGTGAGATTTCCAATGATAAAAACTTCCCTCAAAGGTCATTTACACTTACTCCTGGGCATACCCAGGGCAAAGGACATAATAGCCTTCTGTAATCTTACTTGATTTTCAGTTTCACTTTCCCTTCAGTAAATCTTTAAAATTTTCATTGACATTTGTTGATTTGATAGAAATGCATATAAAATATAACTAAGAAACTGCAGAATTATAAAGCTTGATTTGAAGTGTATGCCAAATAGACATTTGTAACATTAGGCAGGAATAAGAAGGTAGAAGGAAATGGACATCTCACCTGGATAGCTTCTGTATCTATTGTAGTCGTAATACCCAGAAACTTTGCAATCTCTGCCAAATCTATGAATTCAATTTTTACAAGGACCAGGAAATTAATGAATTTTGAAATTACACTTTAAAAAAAGAACAGATGAAAATGAAAAGGCTTACATTGGATGCGGCCAGTCTCTTCATCACGATCCATGGCATCTGGTTGCAGATTTTGCTGCGAGAACGGTGACTTATCCCCCAATAACCTGCATACCACAAAATTCTCCTTCTGTATTTAGTTACCATATGGAAGGGGATAAGACATTGAAGCCTGAGAAACTGACCGGAAAAAGAGCCATTCAAGAAGGGTGTATCGTTCCATGCCAGCGAAGAGGAGAGACTGTGCAGGAGCATTGGCTCTCGGGTAATTAAGCATCGCCAACTTCCTCTGTATCTCCTCCATCTGTTTAGCAGCCATTGCTTCTTCTTCACTTTTTCTGTTGGATCCACTATCAGCAGACTGCGGAGCTTTGATCTGATTCTGATTGAGAAAGGAAATTTTAATTTGGGGTGCCTTTGGCAAGCGAATTTTTCATTTTTTTCCTATTCCTCCAGTTTAATGGTTTTGAGTTCAAATTTATTGTTGGCAAAACCATATATTAAGCCCTAGAATTAACCCCAGATTCACTATTGAGCTCTTAAACTTTAATTAATACATATAAGCCCTTACACTCCTTGATCTGAGCAATTTAGCCTTTATTTTTATAACAATCTAGCTATTCTTATGATAATTAAAGAATTAAGGGTTAAATTACTCAAATTGTGGAATTTAGAAGTTATATACATCAATTAAAGTTTGAGAACTCAATAACAAATCTAAAGTTAGTTTAAGGGCTTAACATATGATTTTACCTTTATTATTTATATTTTAGAGTCACTTGTGTTTGTGTTTTTAATTACATATATATAAAAGAAAAAGGGATTTAAATTTTTTAAAATAGATTGTATATTAAAAAACAATTTATTTTATAAATTTACTTAAATGTTTTTGTTTTTAATATTATTATTATTAAAAATACTTAAGTAAATTTATAAAATAAACTACATTTTTAATATACAACTTATTTTGAAAAACATTTTTTTATAAAAAAATGGAAGAAAGAAATGAAACTAGAAGAAAAATAAAAGCTAATATATATATATAAAAGAAAAAATTTCTAATTTATGTCTTAAAAGTATATTTATTGTATTTTTTATATAAAGTTGTAAATGTTAGTTTTTATTTAATCAATTTCACAATTAATTAATTATTTATGTGATAATAATATTAAAATAAAATTTAATTTTTATATTTTTATGTAAATTAATTATTATAAAATAGTGTAATAAATATGCTCTTAATCTATGTGGTAAGAACAT